CAAAACGTTGATACTTTATTTTGGTAATTAGATATAATTTATGCGGTCAATAAAAATAATGAATATAGTAATTAAAAACAATTATTATGCACGGCCGTTTCGCAATAGACATTTATTATGCGCAAGCGCATTACGTATAAAATAAATTGCGCTCCCAAACTCCCAACACATGTTGAAGATAATGTTAAAAAAAAAGGTTTGAACCAAATTTTTTTGATTAAAAATAAATAATGAATGCATACCGTGAAAAACAAATGTTGTTGTTTTTGCCGAAGCTCGTCTTCTCCATTTTTTTCAACTATTCGGAGTCTTCAAATTATGCGTCGCAATCTACAGACTTTGGCCATTCCTTTGAAGCGCGTTTAATTCATAAAACTTTTAGTATTGACGTCACGGTAGACTTTTAACAAAAGAAAAGTGTAATTAAACTAAGCTGCGTTTTTCTACTGTAGTATTTTTTTAACATACAGCAAAACAAATTTATTTGTATTATTTTTTTCAAACATCGCAAAAAAAATTTTGTAAAAAGTAATAACAATAAATTATTTTTATTTTATAGGAGCAACTTATTTTTTACAGATATCTTAATAATTTTTAGATTTATATATCTTACTTATATTTCTTTAATTATTTAAATTAAAACAAATATTAAAGCTTTACTTACCAATCTCATGATTTTCATACGAGTATTTTACATTATATAGAACGTTTTTATATACGGTCTCTTGTTTTTAGGCAAGAGAGCGCAGTGTTATATATTCTGATTCTTAATTATTTTATTTAAACAATGGGAACTATTTTCTAACTTCTCTGGTTATTTTTACGCTATGACAATTTTTTGTTTTCCCGTCGAAAAAAAGTATTTATTAACATTTACTTTCATAAACTGACAGTTTTAATTAGAGATATTTAATGAATTGGTAACTTTTTTTATTATAAAATTTTTTTGATCACGCTGATTTAATTTAAATTGCTAAATTTGCTGAATTGGATACGGATAAAAAGGAAATACCATTTTGATTTACATTTCATTTTTGATAATGAAATTTTTAAAGTGTCAGCAACTCTATACCAATTAGGATTATGAAAAAAAAGTACAAGAATACACTAAACAATACAGTTGACAGTAGTATCAGATATGAAAATTCGTGAAAGGATTTGTGAGATCCTGATTATGCATTAAAAGTACAATTAATTGCAACACAAGTCTGCATTATAAATTTTGATTATAAGTTTACTGTTCAATATTTTATAAACATCAAATAAAAAACATAAAGTTTGTATATTTTCGCCTACAACTAATATTTAACAAAAATACGGATAAATTATTATTAAATAACGCAATAATTAACACATTAATTAAAGGCAATAATTCAAGATAGATGGTAATTTAATTTATTAAAATGTCATAACGCGGATTAAAAAACATATTATATTTGGTATTTCCAAATTTGAGTCGTAATTGGCATTTGTCTTTTAACATGAAAAATTAAAAATTTTTAAAAACACAAATAACAAATACAAACTTTCAAGCAATTTTCAATCTTCCAATTCTCATTTATTCAAAGAAAATTTACTATTAAACTTTTATTTCTCTCATCTAAAAAAAGAAAGAGTGAAGCAAAAAAAATATATATTCTATACAACTCTTATTCATTCAAAGTTTAATTGCGCGAAACTTTTCTTTCTTAAATTAGATTATATTAAATTAGAAATAAATCAACAATGCGCAAAGCAACGAACAGATTAATCTGGACCTATTTTGATATTTATGAAAATAATCAACATAAACAACATTACCAACAACAATTATCAAATAAACAACACAATCTCGCATAATTTTAAGGCATTTAATTTTTATTGCTTAGTCGTTCTAAATAATAAGTAAATTTTGTTCAAGTTAATAATTCAATATTTACAGTTGCAATAGAATAAAGAAATGGTGTTTAATACTGAACTTTTGATTTAGTTATTTATTCTTTTACCTACATTTGTTATAAAAAACTTTAGAACCCCCGTCATTAAAATAATTTGTTTTAAATATATTTAATGATTATTCGACGTGATTATTCAAACTAATTTTTTTCGTTTGACTTTCCGAACTTCATGCAAAGCAAATTGAAACGAAATATAGTCTAACCAAATAAAAAAAACTGTTACTAATTTTATACGGGTAATTAATGTAAAACAATTTTTGAGATAATAAATATTCATAATTTATAAACATTAAATATATGGCGCAATAACAATTTATAGCAACGAACCAGCATAAAATATTTAAGGTTTTTAATATCTTTTTAAATATTAAAAGTAGAAAAAAAAAAAAAATAAACAAATAATCAAAAAAACTTCGACAAAAATAAATAAAAATATTAATTTATTAAAAGTCTACCGTGACGTCAAATACTAAAACTTTTATGAATTAAACGCGCTTCAAAGAAATGGCCAAAGTCTGTAGATTGCAACGCATAATTTGAAGACTCCGTGTAGTTGAAAAAAATGGAGAAGACGAGCTTCGGCAAAAACAACATTTGTTTTTCACGGTATGCATTCATTATTTATTTTTAATCAAAAAAATTTGGTTCAAACCTTTTTTTTTAACATTATCTTTAATATGAACACAACATGTGTTGGGAGTTTGGGATGCCTTTAAAACTGTTTTTCCACTAACTACGAAAACGGCGAATTTAGAGGTATTCTCAATATTTCATATATACGATACTTAAATATTAAATCTCACTAATAAACTTTTTTTTGTATTTACTTACATTTTAGTTAATAGAAAAAATTTAGTTAAAAGAAAAAAAAATGTCACGCCTGGAGCCTTAACTCACCGGTAAAATGACCAAGATTTCATTGCGGATTTTACTACCATTTTTATTTCTCAATAAAACCTACGAAAATCAATTTTTGAATTATAGTATTATATATCATAGAAAAGAATAAAAGTTGAGCTAAAACATTTAACTCAGTATTTTTACCAGTCATTTTTTTAAATGAAGATACTTAGCTACAAAGTTCGATAATATTTTGATATTTTTTTACTAACCGTAAAACAACATGGCTGACTTATGTCGACAACATCTCAAAATAACTTTATACAAACATATTAAATACAAATGTTTGACATAAACTATATAATTTTATTGCGTAAAATCATTTTATTGTACAAAAAATATAACATATATTATACAGTTTTGTTTCTTCGAGGGACGATTGGTGGTTTTAATGACTTTGCCATTATGCTATTTCTTATGAAATGGTCTCTCATTATACTTTCTAATTTTCTCGTGCCAGACATGCTAGAGTATATTCTTCTAATATTATTAAATTCTGCATAAATACTTTCACCACCTTGCTCCCCATATAATCCAAGACCTATTCCCCATGAGCTCAAAAATACTCCCATGTGGTTCTAAAACATATGCATTTTGGGAGTTATTGATTTTGGGAGTTATTCTTTTGGCCAAGTGCTTCGAAAATGTTTCATTAATTCGCATACTGTTATTTCTACAAAAAAAACTAGTAATTGTAAATAAATGGTGGAAAAATTTTTCTTTGCCAATATTTATTAATAAACTTACCAAAATTCTTAATATTTTCCTCGCTGAATAAATAACATGAGTTTATTTCATTGTGACACTTATAATAGTTGTTAAACAAAATATTGAATTTTTGTTGTATATTAATCGCCTCTACGTGAATTGGATGTTCTTGATGTTTTATATTATTAAAAACTACTAGGGAATTGCATCACATAACTTTTTTATGTTATCAACCTAAAAAATGAAACAAAAATCATAAACCACATTTGAACAATAAGTTATTATTATATGCATATGCTTTATATGCATATATACGTATATGCATTGCAATATATTAGATCAAGAATGTTGATTATAACTCAAAATTTAATGCAGAATTTATGAAAACCTGCACAACACACACAATAATTTATATGAAATAAATTCATGAAAATACAGATTTATATTTTCATACCTTCAACATTTTATGAACATGATTTCCAATGAATGAGCAACTATGATATGCTTGACGTTGCAATCCACACGACTGTAAAACAGATTCAATTCCTTTTATTATTGGCCCAAGTCCTTCTAATAGTTTAACTTTACAGCATTCTGTTATTTTTGCCTCCTTAAAAATTAAAATATAGTTATTGCAGAAAAAATCTAGATAATACATCCCATAAAATAAACAATGCTCTAAAAACAAATCATTATTTCTAGTACTATTTAATACCTTTTCTATTTTCTTTGATTTTAATAGTGCAATTCTCTCTATGTAAATTAACTGCAAGTAATCTGAATTTTCAGGGTTACGAAGTACTTCAACTACACATGTATCTTGAATAAGAATAATTTTATTATTTATATCATCAATGCCATATTTTAATTGAGATATCTCAACCTGCTTTTCAACATATTTGTCAAACTCAATTGAGTCAAGGCGTTTATCATTCATTGCAAGAAATGCAGCTAGTTTTACATCAAGGAGATGACATTCAGCTTCTAACATGTCAAAGAACTTTAGAAATATTCCCAATGAGATGTGGAGAGCTGGTATTGCTATCTGTTTAATGATTAATAACAATCACATAATAGTTAAAGGTGTGTTATATAATATATATATATATATATATATATATATATATATATATTTTTTTTTTTTTTTTTTTTTTTTTTTTTTTTACATTATTCACCTCCCCAAGGCCCGAGGGGGCCACTACAGTCGAGGAGGCTACTCATTTTTTTGTGTTTTTTATTTTTTTATTGTTGTATTTCGTGGTACAACCCTCTCTCAACTCTTTAACTCCGAAACACGAACCTTGACAAGCAAGGCCGCTGCGCGGAGAAACTAAGTTGAGCGCGGTACTTCCAGGGACGTGGTGGGAGTCGAACTCCGAACCTCTCGCTTACAAAGCGAGCGCTCTTACCACTACATCACTGACGCATTAGGCAGTGGTGTATATATACATATATATATATATATATATATATATATATATATATATATATATATATACATATATATACAAATATATATACAATATATATATATACATATATATACAAATATATATATAATATATACATATATAAATATATATATATATATATATATATATATATATATATATATATATATATATATATATATATATATATATATATATATATAATATATACATATATATATATATATATATATATATATATATATATATATATATATATATATATATATATATTTATATATATATTTATATATATATTACACACATTAAACGTTTAGCAACAAATTATTTATCACACCTGATCAAATGGTATATCAGACAATGGCTCATCGATTACATTATTGAATTTCTTTGCATTTTTAATGTTGCCTCCATTATTTTTGAATCGTTCATAATCCAATTTCAAAGTTTGAAGCGTTCTTAAATTGTTTTGTTAATTCCGATTTTCAGTATTCAATTGCATTTCACTTGATGTGATCTCACAGAATAAGCAGCAATGACGACCTGTTAAATAAATTACATAATTTTTAATGTTTTTATTTCACTTTTATAATTTTTTTAAGTTCATTTTTAGTAATTTAATTTAGAATGCAAGTTTAGTGAATAGAAAACTATAGACTGACCAGTTGCTCCTGTGATACCATAGATAGCACACATGAATACATAATTACCTAATATAAATACTTGTAAATTCTTTTCCCTAAAATTAAAAATGATTAAAAAATTTTGTAAACATTTTTTATAATTCGAAAAGCAAATAAATTTTTAAAATATTAAATTAATAACCTCCATTTTATTGTCTGAAGCTGTCTAATTTCATCTATGTGTCTTGAGAGCCCAATTTTAAGATTTGCTCTATAATTTTTGGCCTCAAATATATTGAAAACTGTCGAATTATTCTTTGAATTGGGTTTAGAAACATTCGCAATCTGGTAGCTCATTTTAAATGAACCACCTCCATGGTCGCCACCAATCTTTACATGTATTTCACTTTGATTTATCTTTTCATATGTTAGTTGGTTATATCTACGATAATAAAGAAGAAATTTTTTCTTTATAAAACTAAGGTAAAAACTTACAAAATATTTATATTTACATCTAAATATATTTTGAACTTACCTTTCTAATTTATCAAGTAACTTGATTAAATGTGATGGCAAATCATTAATATATGCTGTAGGGGTATTTTTTATTTCAAAAGTTTCTTTTTTATTTTTCAATTCAAACAGAAATTTTTTATTTTCAACAATCAAATCATCACCTGACCAATATTTTGAAACCTTTCGCTGATTGGAAAGTGACGAAAGTTTGACATTTTTTGTGTGGAAAAAGCTGAAATAAAGTAACTGTAAATAATTAGATATATAAGTGTGTGCGCTGAACCAAATTAACATCTCGGGTTCCAAAGCACTTACCTAATCATTTTTTCCCAAGGTAAACCACAATATGCCTTTAGTGATACAATGTCTTTTGACTCTATCTGAACTTGGGGGATGTTTGCTTTTTTAAGTATATTAATTTTATCATTGTCATTAAAAGAATTAAGCATAAGTGCTGCTTGATTTATTTTTGCTTTTTTTGCTAGTCCTGCTTTTTCAACGAGTGATTGGTGTATTTGATTTTGACGCCTTTTAATAGTTTTCTGGCTAATACTATTTGAAGTTTTGTAGATCTTTGGAGCCACTTTAAACTGTATAGCCTGTTGAAGTCCAATTATTTAACTATAAACTATTCTTCAAACTATTATTTTATTACATTAATATTTATATTTTAATTTAAACAAATAAAAATAGCTTACCCGTGGACCACCTGAAGGGAGTTCAAAGGAATGTGATTTGTTTTTTGCCCTTTTCAGTTTTGCAAAGTGAGCAAACGCATAGTCTAACTCTTTTGGAATTTCACAATGTTCATTTATTTTATATATCTCAGAAACTGTCAATGAAGAGCTAGATGATGGGAAACTGTATTGTTATTTGTTTCTAACTTTGCAGGTTTTTTCATGTTCTTCTTTATAGCTTATATTTTTTACAGTAAATTTTTCTTTGCATGTATTTTTACAACACTCTATAAATAAACTATCAAGTATATTCTGCATTGACGTCGCTTTTAAGATACTACCAAGAGTTATATTAGAGAAACATATTGTGCATTTTGTTTCTGTCTCTAATTTTCCGATTATGTATGGAAAAATACATGTAGCACAAAACAAATGTTGATAGTTATTAAGTAATACAGGCTTATGCAACAACCTCATGCAATTCTTGCATACACATAAATCTTTGTGTGGATTATCTGCTACATCAATAGAATCATGGCATAAACGAGGCAGTCCAGAAAAACTTTTTTTTATTTTACTAATTGACTCCCTTGTCCAAATAACTTTGTCATTTATTGATGGTCTTCCACACTGCTTTTTTTTCTTCCTACTAGGATTTTTCCAAAAACATATGCATCTTTCAATGAAACAAGTAAGTGGCCATTGACTTAATCTGAAATTAGAGGTTGTTCCTCGCTTTTCGATATTTCTCAAGTTTGTGTAGCATTTCATGCAAATTTTAGGTGGGTGTGTATCCAGCCTGTCTTCTTCAAGTTCAGTAAAAAATGCCTGATCAACACGAATTTTTATATTTTCCGTGTTAACTGGATCATGGCAGATATAGTTTCCACATAGTCTGCAGAGTTTCATAAGACATAATATAAGGTTAGTAGCAACAACAGTAGCCATTTTACGATACGATATCGTACTTATGTAATCCAGTTATTTGATTATTTAAAAAAATGACTGGTTGATAAAATTGGTGTTTTCTAAAAGAATTTAAATAATAGTTTAAGAAACCGTTTAGTTCTTGCTTCCAAAAATTGAATTAAAAAAGTTGAAGAGTATAGAAAAAACATAAAATTTTAAAAATAATACTTTTTATTACAGCTCTTGAAAGTTTGTTAAAAAGCAATCGAATCAAAAAAATTTTTAATTAACTATAATATTTTATTATTTGACGATCCAATAAAACTTTCCAACACTAAGAAAAACAAAATATAATAGATTAAAAATGTGTTCCTGATTTCAGTGTCTCAAAGTACAAATAAAAATTATAGCAAATATCGAGAGGAAAACAGAAAATCCACAGAGACGCATGCGTACTATAAATGTCTGATAGGTATCAAGATAAAAAAACCGTGTATGGTAACTTGAAATAATTAATATCCACATTGTTTATTTTACCTATATTTTTTACGTAAATCCAAAAAAATATTGAAACCATATTCATGATGTCAGTACCACTCGATTCTTTCGTGCGTATTTTACACAAAAAAGGAGATACAGAATAAATAAAATAAACAAACAGCAAATAAAGTAACAGTGGATTTTGTTTATATTAGTTTAATTATTTGCTTAATATGGCTACATCACTTTCTTGTGTTGTCATTGGTTGTTCCAATCACTCAACCAAACTTGTAAAGTGGAAAAAAGCTACTTAAAAAAAGTATTTAAAATCCTCCTGGTTCATATGTTATAGCTTCTTTTTCCAAATAATTGTCATTTTTTTCAAGTTTTATTTGTTCTATATAGCTGTCGTCTCAACTTATTCTTTTTATTCATTTCATAATTAGATTATTTTATTGGTTTATTGTTTATTTTATTGGAACCTTTAGCCATAAAAGCTCCTAGTAACATGTTTAATTGTTCAAAAACTAACACTGAAGCTTTCATATCAATATTGAAATTTGTTACCGCATCATACACACCAAATTTCAAATTATCAAATGACACATACCTGGTCTTTGGTAATTGGTCCCAAATCATACTGTTGAAAAATTATGTTCATTGGATGAACTGGACTTGGAATGCCAAGATAAGTGTCTATGACATTAATGAAACTTTTACTGTCTCCATCTCCTAATTTACATATCGCAGTTTGTACTTATCTAAAGATCTTAAAAATACATGTTTTGCACCAGTGGACTCCATACCGCTTGCAGATCCTTTGTAACTATTTTTACAAATGTGAGAGTTTTTCCATTAGGCATAAGCTGTAGGGTTTGTTTTTAAAAGATCTTTCTTCAAAAAGCAACCTTTGCAGAACCTGCACATTGGTTCCACATCTAAAACTTTACCAGTGTCCATTGATAATGCAGAAAAAACACCGTTTAATGATGAAAAACCTCTTTTCTGCCAAGTACCATCACATGACACACCAATATCATAAACATCATCATTAGCAGCATGTTTTCGCAATTCTGTTACTGCATCAAACATGGTATCTTCAGCAACTTTTGATGTGACAGCACCTATTTTCACAGCTAATTTACGATAATTACTTTGTGTCATTGGTTGTGGCATATTCATTAAAGTAGTGAATTTTTCTATACCAGAATGTCCCTGTCCAAGAGAATGCATTGCGTATACTGTTCTACAATTAATATCATATGTTCTGTTACATTGTTTTGAAGTATAAAACTCACTTTCATATTTGCAGTTATAGCACTTGATAATTAACTTTGAGGAAAGCCCTTTTTTGTCTTGCATTTTTTCGGACAATGACAAGGATGAACATTAACCAAATTGAGGACATGCTAAAGCACTAAATATATCAGATAATATAGAGCAATCTATAATCCTATATCCAGATATTTTCATTCTTGTAAAAGCTCTGAAACATTCAATTGGCTTTACTTTTTTCGGAGATACAGATGTCGAATATAAATTTAACTAAGATTCGTTATTTAAAGAGTTATTATTGACAGTTGTAGTATTTGAATCAGTCAAAATTGTTACAGCATTCAACCTTATTTCTGTATTTTCTTTGTCGAGACAGTTAAATTTCTTCCCTAAGAAAACTCTTCTCTTTTTTTTAATTATTTTTCTTGATTTTATTTTACAGGCTTTATTCATTTTTTAAAAATGAGTAATTTGCGCTGGCTGAATGAGTAAAGAAGCCAAACCAAGCATTTTACTGCAGATATTTAAAAATATACATTAGTTGTTAGGATTTTTATTAAAGTGCTACACCGTTGCTATGGGCGTTGTTAGGGTATAAATTTTGAGTTACCTTAAGAAAATACAAAATTTGAAGGGCTAAATGATAAAAATCAGTATATAAACAAATAATTTTTAATTCTGCATACATTTAAATGCATAAATAAGTAAAAATATTTTTTACAAATTTTCGGTAAAATTAGAGCGCGTTTCCCTCTTAAAAAAATTTCTAGCTATACTGGCTAGTGAAAAATTTTCAATTTATGATCGTCCATAAATTACGCTACGCTAAGTTTATTATAAAAACAGAGGTAGGAAGGTCTTGAGCGGTGATTTTTATTAAACTAGGATCTTCCGTAATTTACGCAACGCTAAATTTAACTAAAGGGTTGTCCATAAATAACGTCACGCTCAAGGAAAAAGGAGGGAGGGGTGGTTTTGTAATAGCTCATATGGGACTAAAACATATTGATGTTGTGACGAGGGAGGAGAGGAGTCAAAAACGGTTTAAAATTGTGTAACGTGATTTATAATATATCTAATAAACAAAACAAAAAAGATCAAAAAATTGTCCGTTGCAAGTTTTACAAAGAATCTATATCGATTCTTTTTAAAACTTAAGTTTAATGAAAATTATTGTTTAATTATCGCGTTAAGTTTAATGAAAATTATTGCGTAAAAGAGCTTAAGATCTCTTCCTTCTGTTTTTAAAATTAACTTAGCGTTGCGTAATTTTTGGACGAGCCCTTGATGGCGCTATTTTGACTTTTTATTTAACTTAAGTCTCTGCGATGGAATACATTTGATCTTTTTTGTTTTTTAAAAAAGAGAAAAAAAATTGTCATAAAGTTTAGCTCAATTAAAGCTGTTTTGTGTTTTGCATACCATTTAAGTAACTTCGATTAATTATGTATTTTCGTTTTTATGTCAGATTTTTGATACATCAGCGACGCTCAATAACAATGTTTCACGACTTGATTTAGTTTCATTTATTTGGATAGTTAATAGTATTGATGTATATATATATATATATATATATATATATATATATATATATATATATATATATATATATATATATATATATATATATATATATATATATATATATATATATATATATATATATATACATTGGTTAATAGCATTGATGTATATTTGGATTGGTTAATAGCATTAATAGGACTGGTTAATAGCATTGATATATATTTGAATTGGTTAATAGCATTGTTATATATTTTTCGAAAAATATATTTAATGTCTTACTCCGTAATCCAATTTTTCCATAGTTCCATAAAATTTTTATTTATGTCCAGTTTTTTGAAAGGTTTACAGTTATAAAGTACGTTTAAAAAATTGAAATTAAATTTATTATACTGCATTTTAGGTTGTAATAATGAATGAAACTCTTATTTATTTCCTTAGAATATTAAAAACTTCACTAGAAGCATAAAATATACTTAATATATATATATATATATATATATATATATATATATATATATATATATATATATATATATATATATATATATATATATATATATATATATATATATATATATATATATATATATATATATATATATATATATATATATATATGTTTTAAATTTTTTTAATCTTTCTTGGTATTACTTTTCTTTTTTGCGAATTTTTTTCTTCCTCATTTTTAAATTTTTATCTGATTTCGATTTCTAATTTTTAAGTTTCTTCTTCCAAGCCATTTATGCTGGTCTGAAAATTAATGTTTGAAATATTTGAAGAACCTGAGTGCAATTCGGAGGAAAAAGCACGATGCAAATTTGCTAATCTTTGCATCATTTAAAAAAATGAACAATAATGTGACTTTAATGATTATCTAAAAATATAAAATAGAACGTGCATTATTTTTTAATACGTGGTCAATTCTGTAAACATAATCTTAAAAAGTGAGTTTGTTTCGCTACCCAGATTCAGTGTGAGTAAAAAAAACAAAGCTATGGATAGTTTCATAGGTATATGCGAGATCTTATATTTTTATGCCTTTTCGAAATAATGTAAAAATGTAAAACAGATCTGGACAGAACGAATCAATCCTTCATAAAAAATTGTAAGAATATCTCTTAATTCTGCTGGCTGGAACCACTTCTAACTCTCTGCTAATGGATTTAGAGTTACGAAAAACTTATTCAAGATTTCTTATAACTAATGATTTTACACAATACTAAATTGGAAGTTCATTTTATGAACTGCAGAGTATATGAAGATATTCCAGAGTTCAAATTATTTTTTGCTTTTGAATTTTCTTAATAAGATGACACAACTAACCATTCAACCAATTCATCTTTTAAGTAAATTAAATGTTCTTCTTTAAAGTTAGTTTTTTTACACTAAATATTGCATACATTTTTAGGACAGTTTTCTTCAGTCCTCCGTTATATAAATGGTACAGGGCTGAATTTGATAAAGTGTAAATAGTACAGGGCTGAATTTAAAAAAGATACAGAGTTTTCTGAAGATAATTCTTCCGAAGAAAAAAGTTAATGCTACTATCTTGAATTGTCGAGTCAAAAAAAATGAAGCTTGACTCGACAAAAAACTCTCATTCTTATTCTTTAAAGTGAAGTTTAAACCAATTTTACATCTATAGTATATAAAGTTTCTTTATATAACTTTAACACTGTCCTGTTTGATTATTGGTTTTACGTTATGAAACATGCGGCAAGGACTTATAGTTATATCATAATAACTAATGTGAATGTAAATTAAGATATTGTTTGATAAATGCTGCACCATACATTTATGACAATTCGTTGCGGATTTAAATATTGTGGGAACGGCGTATTAGCTTTATGAGTTATTCTTCAGTTTTGACTTAACTAACTTTGAAATTATAGTCAAACTTAGTTTGAATTTACTTCTTAAATTTACCCATTATAAATTAACATAATTATAATAACTAATTTTTTTAAGCTTATATAAAAGCTAATAGTTGTTTTCGAGAAATTTAATAAATAGAAAATTTTTTGAAGTTATTTTACTGAACTATGCATTTAATAAAAAAAGAAAAAACTTTGTATTTATCAAATAAACTATTGTTATCAGAATAAACGTGGTTTACCTTCCTTTGTAAAGTCTCTATAGCAACTTCTTTTTGTTATCGCAAAATGGTTTAGCAAACATTACCTACTGTTTTATAATTAGTTTTTGATTTTGAGGTTTTGTGGTGGATGCTGATATTGACAACTTATTACTTAACAGCTAAAAATAAAAAGTTATAACAAAGGTGAGTTAGAGTTATTAAACAAAAAGACATTGATATACAATGGCGTTTATTGACAATAGTGAAATGGAGCAATCTAATCTGATAATTGCATTCAAATCTACATACTTGTTTATATGTTTTTTTCTTGGCGTTATTGGTAACTCAGTTGTCGTTATTACGATTTTAAAGATCAAAAAAATGCAAACCGTTACAAATTGGTTTATTTTAAATCTTGCAATAGCCGATATTTTATTTACTATTTTCGAAATAACCACAATTATTATAACATCTATCGCAAAAAGATGGTTGCTAGGAAACATTGTGTGTGATACCGTCGGTTTTATGAACTCGCTTTTTTGCATAACGTCAATATGGACTCTTGTTATGATCAGCATAAATAGGTTTTTACATGTTGCTAAACCCAACGACATAAAAATACTGTACACAAAGAGAAGGGCAATTATAATAATTATCGGTGTTTGGGTATTTTCTTTATTGATCTCATTCCCTCCTCTAATTGGTTGGAGTCAGTTCAAGTCAGGCGCTAACTTCTGCACTGTTGACGGCAAAAAATCAAAATCATATTCAATTTTTCTTGGTACTATTGCATATGTGATGCCTATGTTATTTTTAGCAAGTTTGTACTCGTGTATATTTTTTTTGCTACATAAACACGAAAAAACACAAATGAGAAGCAAAATAAACACTGTAGAATTTTCAAAGCCAAATGGTTCTAAAATTTTGTTTGACAGTGTGTCTGTATCATCACTTTCACATCAATCAAATAACAAAAAAACTAGTTTAAAAGATAAAAAAGTGATAGCTTACTACATCAAATATAGGACTAAAGGTTTTTTGACAAATGAAGGAATTTCAACTATAGATAGTTATTTAGAATTAAAAAATAAAAATGGAAATCAACTTAATGCAAATGATAGTGGACAATTACAAAGGAGAAATGAAAGATGCAAACTAGAATTAACAAATACAGAAGAAAATCGAAAAAAGCTGAATATTAAAAAACATTTTAAAGAAGTTCGAATTACAAAAATGTTATTGATTCTTGTACTTTGCTTTTTCTTTTGTTGGACTCCAGTATTTATTGGATCGTTGTTATACTCTTTTAACACAAAGGCAGGGAGTTTTAATTTAGCAACATTTGGAATAATGTGCGCTTGTTTAAACTCTATACTCAATCCTATAATATATTCTGTCATGAACCGCGGGTTTCGAAAGTATATTATAAGAGTTTGCAGAACTATTTTTATACATTAGGTTTTAACACATTTAAGCACACTTGTTTTTTTCTTTATTTTTTTTCAAATGCGTATTTTGGTACAAACATTGAGCTAAGTTAAAATAAATTAAACTTAATTACCTTAATTCTTAACTTAATTACCTTAATTCTTAGTAAATTAGGTGGATGGCAAAACACATTTTTATGGTTTATTAACGATTATTTGTGGTAAATTACAATAATTTATTTGAAACTAGTTTAAAATATGTTAACTTATTTTAATTTATGCAATTTAAGGCATGGTAACTAAGAAAATTTACGTTTAACATGTTGCTTTAAAAAGCTAATATGCGTCTCAATATAAATGTTTTAAAACAAATTAGACAGATCACTGCTGCACCTAGTGTTAGCAGATTATATCAAAATTTTGATATAATTCATCGCAATTGAAAGCCATTTTCTATCAAAATTTGGTAATCGCAAAAGTTATTTAGCCATTTTTTTTTAGTTTTTTTTCAGAGATAGATTTAAAATTTTTTTTCAGAGATAGATTTAAAAGTTTTTTCTGAGATCGAGACATTAATTTTATCGTAGGGGTTTATAAACTCTTTAAAATATGGAGACTTATAAGTAGCCATTATTACCCATTTGCTATTTTTTAATTTATTTTCAAAAGTGGTGATTTGCTCATCAGAAGGATCAACTAATTTATTTAATCTTTTTGATGAAGTATTTTCATTAATATATAGAAGAAAAATTTTGGTTAATTTTTTTTATATAGTAAGGAGTCTTATAACTTGTTAATAAGAACTGATAATGAGAACTGATAATGCGAACTGTTAATGAGAACTGTTTATGAGAACTAATAATGCGAACTGATTAGTTAAAAATGTTTTATTTAGTTTGGTTTCGCTAATAATAAAGACACCAACAGTTGTTTTGATGAAGAATTTTATGTCTGTAAATTTATTTTGCATAGAATTAATGTTAATGAAGGATATTATTTGTAAATTTTAGTTTAGGTTTATCCAAAACAGACTTGTAACCCATTCTTCATTGTTGCAGATTTAATTTCTTCATTGGTATTAAACAAGATTTTTCGGTAATCATTTAGCTTCGATTGATTTTAAGATTTTATCAAGTTTATTGTATATAAATTCCTTTTGTGACTTATTTATTATATTCAAATTAATATAATGTTTTAAAAAAAACGTTAAATTAGTTGACGAGTTAAACATTATGATTTGTTACATAAATTGCAATTAGCAATGTGTTTAGTTGATTTGTTGTTACATAAAATGCGATTAGAAATGTGTTTAGTTGATTTATTGCTATCATGATCAATAAATAATGAAATAATTTTCCTCATTCACTTTTAATAATAATTTTCCTCATTCAACTCTTCTCGTAATAACAAATTTTCATCTTTTAAAATTGACATGCTGCTGTCTATCATTTTATGACTGTTTGTTTCCGTTCTCAATGTTTTTATTTCAATTTCCATAGATTATGTTTATTTTGATAATTTGATAAGTTTTTTTTATCACTACTAACTACTTGAAAAGTAGTTAGTAGTGATAAAAAAATCATCACTACTAACTACTTGTTTAAATAACTTGAAAAGATTCTTTTTCGTCGTTTATTGATAATTATACCAATAAATACAATGTTTTCCGTCAAAGGACCAGGAAGGTTTTGTTTTTTTAAGTTTTTTTTATTTAGGTGCCCCTAGAAATCCTTACGGTCTTACAACAGTGCACCGTGGATGAGCATTTATTAGAAAGTTCACGTCTCCTTCCTAAACCAATGTTGCAAAATTGGCCAGAGGTAGGGTATGAACCACGGGCTCTTTGTTTCTAAGGCAAGTGTGCTACCACTGCGCCACGGCTGCACAAGTTCGATGCCGGTTTTAGTTCAATAAACGATGTTGGTAAGAAAGACTGCGCGAACTTCTCTTAATTGAATGCTCTTTCGCAAGTATCAAAAATGCATCAGCTTTGTTAGTTAGTTGAAACTAATTATTTAGAAATTGCATTTTTATTTTTTCGTTTTCTGATATCAATAAAATTTAAACAATTCAAATAAAGTATTGCTTCTTATGATTAGTCTACACTCAATCAGCATTAATAGTCCTAATATGTCCCACTATACCCTAAAGTGAGTTTAAGAGGTTGCTATCTGATGTCAAATTACTTTAAGCACTTTAAAATGTAGAAATACCATAAATTTTAATCTAAAAATTCAATACAAGGTTATTTGTAAAAGAGAAATGTTTAATTGATATTTTTCACAGTTAATTTGTTAATTGTTCTCAATTTTTACTGTTATATGTGAAACTATTTTTCTAACCTGTACTTGTCTCCATTGCGTTGTACCTTTGTTTCAGTGGCAATACATCTCAACAACCAACAACAAGTAATGCTTTTATTCCTTATTGATTTTGTGCAACTTGTTGTATTTATCCAATTTGCTGCACTTTATTCTGCAACATCATTTTAAGTTTATTGAGCTGGCAGTGAATTTTGATAATCTGCAGTACTTAATCGTTGACCAAAGTTTAACATTTTATTTATTTTAAAATTTTTAAAATAAATAAAATGTTAAACTTTTATTTATTTACTTTTTAATTAAATTTTTTTTTATCTAAATTACTTTTTTATTAATTTTAAAGTAAAATTAAAGTTTCGCAGTTTGTTGCTCAAGTATACAAAAATCGCAATTGCTACACTGGAACCGCAGTTGCTACACTGGTAAATACACTATGACCGATATCATAGTTTTGTAGTTCGTTCAACCATGGAAGTATAAAACAGATGGAAGTTCATCGAGCCGCAAACATCAAAGCAATTTTAAGTCGTCTTGGGAGTATGCTTGTAACCGACAATAAGTTTCACCGGATAAAAAAACAACAAAAATTCACTGAAATGATCTTTATTAAAACATTAAAAAATGAATTATTCTAGGGATATGCTGCCAATTTTTAAACATTAGTAATTGCAATTATTCTGCAAAAGGTTTATTAAAACTTGGTAATTAAATAGAAACACTTGATTTTAAAAACATATGATAGTTTAAGCTTCTTTTCTAGCTTCAAGTCTTAACGCGACATTTGATAAAAAAGACAACTAAAACAATTTTTGAAAAATCAAAAAAATTGTTTTCTAAATAACTAAAGTTTTAAGTTTTATTAGCTGTATATCAAAACTCCATTCATTCTTGTAGTACTTCATTCATTTAATATGAAGTTTATAAAAAGTTGTTGTTTGCCGTTTTGTTGCCCCATTTTTAATATTTTTCTTGAATATTATTAGCGAACCTTTGTTTTTAAATTATTATAAACGTACCTATTTGCGCCAACGTATAAAGATTAGGCATTTAAGTACAGTCTTGATGTTGTTTTCTTATTGTTTACGAAACAAATAGTTACGAGCATACTCCCAAAGAATTTCAATGCAGTTGAACTTCCATCTGTTTTATACTTCCATGGTTCAACACACTAATTCCTAAATTACACACAAATTCCAAAAAAGATCAAAAAACGTTTTTTAATGACCAAAATATATGATAAACACTGCCTCAAACACTTCTTCTCAAATGTAATTGCAATTAAAAATTGCCCATCACAAGATTTATTTTTCAAGTTGCTGTTCCACTATTATACAGGTACCGTTATTTAATCTACTGTTGAATGGTAATCACAAACATTCCTGCGAAATCTATGGCTGACTATTTCAAAAGACCAGTTACCATCACTCTTATAATTTATGAATATACTCTTGTTTTTATATTTACTAGATTCAATCCAGAAACTAAAACTGCATTTAAAGACCTTTATTCCATTTATTAAGGTTTCTTCTTTTCCCTGACCACCTAAAATTACCCAAAATTACGCCTATATATAAAGGTAAGCTAAAACTACGACTTTTTATAAAGGTGAACCATCAATTGTATTATCAATCATTATCTGTCCTCTCTGTTTTTTCTAAAATTTTAGAATGATTTTTTGTTTATCAAATATCCAATCATATTGCTCTTAAAAATATACTCTACCATCCAAGATCCGAAACGGCTTCAAAACTCTACTGAACTTGAATTAGTTTAACATACAAGAACCACATATAATTCTTTTAAAAAATTAAATTTTACCCAAGGTACCTTTATAGCAATTTCTTAAACTCGCAACACTATTAAAAATTAAATGATGTTTAAAAAACTGGAACATAATGATAAATTAGCTGTTGAAATGCTATTTAAAAGCAACTTAAAACAACGCAAACATTGATCTCTTTTTTCCATGATTTTAAATATAACCTCGGGAATTCTAAAAAAATCTATAGTTCCACAAGAATACTAGGGCCCTTACTTTTTCTAATATATGTTTATGATCTTTATTAGACCTCAAAATTATGTTTACTGATGATACAAAACTATTTCCATCTTGTTCATTAGTAAACGTTTTAATGATATGAACATTGAGGAAACAAAAATCTCTGACTGGCTTATATCAAAGAAATTTTTACCTAATTTTATAAATAATTAAAAAAACATTGTAATCAAACATTAATGAACTCAAGCTTACAATATTATTTTATATACTGTCATATTAGCTATACTAATATTGCTTGGGGGTATACAAAAGTATGTTAAAACAACTTTATTGTCACTAGAAGCACATTTCACGTTTTATATATTTCAAAAATTGTTTTACTCACTTAGGGCTTCTTTTATTTAATATAAATGTTCTTATCCTATATCAATTAAATAAATCTTTATGCTTGAATGTAAAACCAACTTCCTATTTTGATTTATTTTTCAAAAAAAATATATATATTCTTTAGGAAATGATAATTTTGTTAAATGAACAATTTTCAAAACAAATTTAGGTAAATCCTGCATTACCTTTCTTGAAGCTTTTTTTATGGAACTGTATAATTTTTAAAAAATTTGATTTTTTTTCATCGACGGAATTATTATTTGTTAAAAAGAAAACAAAAAGAAGTTATTTTTTCCATTGAAAATATATTAATATACTTTGAGGTTTTACCCAGTATCCTCTATACCCATATGTATTTAATTTTCTTTTTATATACGTCATATATTTGTAGCGTTTCGTAATGTAAAAGGTTACTTAAATGTGGTCTTCAGCAAGCGCCAGCGTTTTACTTATATGAGTATTATTTCATGGATTTAAAAAATTAAAATATTATTTAAATTCAATGAAACCTATCACCCTTTAAGATAACTTTCTATTTATACGTTTTTCTACAGGATATAATAATCATGTGCAGTGATTATCTCAAAACATTACTGTTTTGCAAAATTAAAATTTAAACTACACAGGCTCACGTACGTCATCTCACGTCACGTACGTCATTTAAACAACACAGGCTCACGTACTTATTTCTCCTTTACTCAAGTGGAGTTTTAGAACTTATCTTAAATTTTTTTTTTTTTTTTTCTCTGTTTACATAACATAAGAATTTTACAGATTCTACTACATAATATAAAAATTTAACAAAATAAGTAAAACAGATAGGGACTCAAAGAAGATGAGGATGACAGAACGTCATCGAAATCTTTTCATAGAACCCCTTTAACAAGGTTTAATTAAAATATCGTAATATGACATACAAAATAAAAATGTCAATAAAATATCATAACAAAATGCGTAATCCGCTAATAAAAATTGTCAAGCAACAAACAAAAGTAGAAACAAAACAAAAACTTATTTAAGAGAATTTATCCAAAGCATTATTAACAAAAAATGTTTCACCGGTTTTAGAGATTTCTTTTTTTGTTAAAAACTTGAATGAACTTAACGAACTCACCGTACCTTTGAACTCTTTCTGAAAAATATTCCATACCTTTGGACCTCTATATAAAATGCTGTATTTTGAATATTTATTTATTATCCTTGGCAGTTTATATGTGTTCAACATATTCGCTCTAAGATTATAGTTATCATTTTTATTTAACTCAAACTTATTATTAAAGCTTATAGGAGAGATATTGTGATTGTAACGATACATGAAAATTAAATGCTGGTAGATATTTATTTCAAATACGTTCATCATTTTCATATCTTTCATCAAGGGATTAGCGCGTTCCCGCCTATTTTTAAAGTAAATGATTCTACAGGCATGTTTCTGAAAACTATAAAGTTTCTTAAGCATTGCTGTTTGAGTACTTGCCCATGAAATGTTTGCATAGCTGATGAGGCTGTGAATTAGCCCAAAGTAGATTAATTTAAGGCTATTTGTATTAATATACGAGCGAACTCGTATATTAATACATATTTTGACTGTATATATATTATATGAGGAAGCCAGGATAATTTTTCATCAACAACGATTCCCAAGAATCTTATATTGAATTGCTTTTTAATTAATTTGTCATTTATAAATAGGTTCGGCAACTTGAGAGGAAGATTTTCTTCTTGTGTTTTTTTATGAAAAAGTATATAGTTTGTTTTCTCGGTATTAAGTGAGAGTTTGTTAGCCTTAAACCAGTTATTTACTTTATTTAGTTCAATATTCATGTCCGCATATAATTTCTTGATATCGTTGTTGGTAAGAAATAAGTTCGTATCATCTGCAAACATGACTGAATTAAGTTTTAAGGATGCATTACAGAAGTCATTTATATATATTAAAAAAAGAAGAGGACCAAGAATCGATCCTTGCGGAACTCCACATACGACATTTAACACTCCAGATTGGACATTATTTACATATTGTTTTCTGTTTGTAAGCTTTTAATCCCATAATAAGTTTTATTAAATATTCCGTAATGTTTAATTTATCTAAGAGAATACAGTGGTCCACTGTATCAAATGCTTTTGATAAATCAAGAAATACTCCTAAAGTAAATTTATTATTTTCAAAACCATTAGTTATTTGATTTACTATTTCAATGATTGCATGCTCAGTAGAGAGATTTTTTGGAAAATCAAACTGATTTGGGTAAAAAAAATTGTTTTTAATGAAGTAATTATAGATTCTATTATAAACTACACGTTCGAATAGTTTTGAAAATACAGAAAGTACTGATATAGGCCTGTAGTTTGTAATGTCAGAATGATCATTAAATTTGGACATTGGAGTTACTTTTGCTAATTTAAGTACATCCGGAAATATCCCAGAATTTAACGAAAGCTTTAGTATATGTATTAGAGGTCTTTTAAGACTGTGTTTGTTTGCAATAACTATATTACTATTTCATCAAATCCCGGAGCCTTTTTTTTTAACGACGAAAAAGCTGCCTCAAATTCCTCATAGGTTAATTCATAATCAAGCATGATAACATTATTCGTTGGTTTAAGGAAGGTTTTAAATAATACAGATGTTGGTACTATTTTTTTTACAAGATTTGGACCAATACTTGTAAAATATTTATTAAATTCTTCCAAAATTTGTTTTTGGCTAAATATATCGTTGTTTTCAATAACAATTCGTTTAGGTAGAGAAGGTGAATTTAGTTTTTCTTTTACCATTATGACATTGATGATAGACCATGTTTTTTTGCAATCAAATTTGCATTTGTTAATTTGATTACTGTAATATTTTTTTTTTTTTGCATTTTTAATGAGATCTTGGTATAAATATTTATAATTTTTGTAAGCTTTTTCATTATCATTGTTTTTATTTTTCAGAAATTTATTGTAAAGTTTTTGCTTTTTTTTTTGAGCACTTTAATAACGATTTATCCATCCACGGATTAGCAATTGCTTTTGATTTAATTTTTATATTCTCTTGAGGACAGGTTTCATTAAAGTACTCCAAAAATATACTTAAAAAAGCATTGTAAGCTCCATTCGTATCTTGACATTTATATACGTTGTTCCATGTTTCTTGTTTTAGTCTATTGTTAATTTATCAGTGTTACTCATTTTTAAATTTCGTTTTTTCAAATGTATGATTTTTGAATGACAATCAGTCATAGCTTTTAGATTTTTTGTTTTTATGAAAAAAATTCTTTAAGTTTATGAAAATTTTGCTGCATGCTTCTAATGTTTATGTGTAATACAGAAAATGAACAATCATCTGTTTTTACTTTTAATTCAAAGGGATAAATATACGGTGTGTTAATTAAGTTGGTTTGAGTTTCTTGAAAGTATTTATGTTTTCTTCAGATAGATTATTCATAAAGTTGTCCTTAAAAAGATCTAAATTTAAATTATGAAAATCTAATTTCTCTGAAAAAAGCGACGCCATTTTTTAGTTTTTTTTTTTGAAAATAACTAATTTAAAAATATTCAATGTAATAAAAAAAAAAATATTCAAAATGCTTACTCGTTGACGCATGTAGGATTAACATCTGTGTTGCGGGTATTTTCTCGAAATTCGTGAACAATAAGTTTGTTGTAAACAGCTTTCGCAAAATAGCCATTTTGACAATGAATCTTCGCCTGATCAAAAAGTTCTTTTCGAATTTTTCGAGTTGTAAAACTAAAATCTTCGTTTAAAAAAATATTGGTTCCTTTTAATTTAACTGCTCTCTCCATAATTGTTTTTTTATCCTCGTAATCACGGAGTTTCAAGACGATTGTTCGCTCTCGTTTATCATTAGTTGCTCCCACTCGATGAGCCCGTTCAATTATAATGTCTTTTTCAATACCAAGGTTATCTTTAAATAGTTGTTTTACCCTTTTTTTTGTGATTTCCCAATCTTTTTCTTCACTGTTTTCAACGATCCCGTCAATTCTTAAATTATTTCTTCTGTTACGGTCTTCAATATCGACGCTTCTTAATTTTAATTCAATATTGTCCGAAGATATTTTACCCTGCATTTTTCTTACATTTGATAAATCGTCATGAACTTTATTAATTTTTTCCTCGACTGCTCTAGCTTTATCATTGAAAACATCTCCAACAAAATTTAGGCCAGATTTCATTTCATTAAGTTCTCGCCGAACTTCTTGAAAACTAGACTGAAAGTTTTCAAACTTTTCGTTTATGCTAAATAGTGATTCACGGAAAAAAGATAAAATTGTTTCTTTTTGAATATTAAGAAGTTCTCTCATCATAGAAATTGAGACTAATTCTTCTGATTTAGACATTCCAAATTTTATTAGACAAGATAAAAAAATTTTTTAAATTATTTTACTGTAAGAAAAACGCGTCTGTTCACCACGATGTTCACAACACCACTGTATAATATAATACTTAGCTCTTAAACATATAAATCTTAGCTCTTAATCTTCTCACTATCGAAGATTTAAGTCGAAAATATCTTTAAATATAATAAATGCACTTACAGAAACTTTTCAAACAGTTTTATCGGTAGAGAAGCTACTGCAATTGCACTAACTTCTCTACCTTCTCTAACAGCAGTTAGAGAAGGTAGAGAAGTTAGTCTACAACCTGCAAAAAGTAGAGAAATTAGTTTACAACCTGCAAAAGGTAGAGAAGTAACTCTACAACCTGCAGAAGGTAGAGAAGTTAGTCTACAACCATCAAATCTCTAGAGCATTGTCAATAAACATTTTTGTTACTTCAGCAAATTTCAATACTCTTGTGAAAACATTTTAGCTATATATTTCTCCTTATTTAACCATAGTCATAAGAAATATTTCATATGACTATGGTATAAATGATTATACAAATTAAAATTAATTTGTAACTTTTTTAACTATGGAAAAGATTTACGTACTTATGTTCGCTTAAAAAAATATTTTAAAGAATAAAATAAAATGTATATATATATATATATATATATATATATATATATATATATATATATATATATATAATAATTTTAAGTTATATATATATATATATATATATATAACTTAAAATTATTATTTTTGTGCGTTTTGCAGACGGGTTCTAATTTTTTTATTAAAAAATTTAAACTTCCAACATCTAATTTTTATTGAGAATTACTATCAAATCGTATATGGTAAACTTATAAATACTTTTAATTAGTTTAAAATATCATTTATAAATATTATAACTTAAAACAGTTTTAATATTTTTTTGTCTACTAAAAAGAACATTTTAGAAAATTCATTAAATTGCTACGTTTGATTATAAACGATTTGATTCATCTTTTCGAGTTTAGGGTTTTCTTTAAAACTATTGTTTCGATATATCAAGAAAGATAAATGAGCAAAAAACAGAGATAAAATATTTAATATAATTTTACAGTATATTTACAACAAAAATAAGAACAGAACGTTCACTTTTTTCTATTATTTCCAGACATAATCATTAAAATTCGAATGAAAATGTTTATTGTATCCATGTATATGCCAATCGAGCTAAAAGATAAAAAAATATAATGTGAACCGATAGAAACCAATAAAAAAATATATAAATATGAGGTCTATGAACGAATTTTTTTTTTACAATCACATGATTACATGATGATCAAAGACATTTTTATTTACTTAAAAACAAATGACTAATTTAGTCAGACTAAATATTTATAAGAATGTTTTCTATGGATATTTTTGCATATAATTTTATTAACATGTTTATATAACTTTCGACACGAATAATGTCTATAAAACTTTAACTTTAACTAATATAAATGCTTAATTTAATTGGTGCGAATTTGTGCAAATTGTGCAAATGCAAAAGTGAATTGCAAAATGTTTATTAAGAACATCAAAAGATTTTGCAAACACTGTTTGTGCAAATACGCATTGTGTAAGTGTCAACTTTAGTGAAAAAGTGCATGCAAGCGCTAGCAGGTAAGGATACTCGCATTAAAACGTACATACATATACTATAAGGATTCGGTTTTTATATATATATATATATATATATATATATATATATATATATATATATATATATATATATATATATATATATATATATATATATATATATATATATATATTCCATTTAAATAACATATTATGCAACAAAAAAACAAAACTACCACCGAACTCAAATTCAGGAGTTTATCAACTTGAATGGTCATGCGGAAATATATATATATATATATATATATATATATATATATATATATATATATATATATTAATGAAACCAAAAAAAAAAATTATTTCAAGTAGTGCAGAACACCAAAGAGCTAGCAAAAATCAAAAATGATCGAGTTTAGGAGCCACGGAACATTCTAGAACATGCTGTGGTACTTTGCTAAATCCTAAATTTGCTAAATCCTAACTTGGTTAAATCCTAAGACCTTGGCAGTCGTTCAAAAATACAGGATACAAAAAAAATTTTCTCTTCTTTTTAGGCAACTGGAACTCTGTGTTGACTTTTGTCTTATTTAACTAAAACTTTTTGTAGAGTTTGGCATTTATCGTCTTTCAGATTACAAATAACTTTGAGGCAATTTTGTGAAGCTAAAAATTGCTAGCCCAATCATACATTTCTTACAAAAGTTATTGAGCTCATCTGTGGTTTGGGTATTTTATCTTTCAATAAGAGTGAATACGGTAAAAATACTAGACTTATTGCATAAAAGAACAAGATATAATTTACCATTTCGCTCTTTCATAATCAGATAGTCCAGGATTTTGCAGAAATAAACAAAGAATATATGAGGCCAAATTTTATTCTCTTTTTTCTTTTCTCTTCTTTCTTCTAGATCCTAACTTGCAATTAATGTATAAAGATTCCTTGTAACATTTGAGAACTCGAGAAACAATTGACAATTGACAAAGTCAATTGTCAAGACTTTGGCTATTTTAGAAATAGTTCTAGATGATGCATTTATTATACAAATGTGCAAAATTTTTTCATGATGAATTTTTTATTTTTAATTATATTATTTTTCAGGAAAACTTGTTTATTTCTTTTGTGGAATAGAAGTATTTATTTTTGTTTATGTTTAAAATGTTTTAATTTACTTTTAATTCAAAAAGTTTACTTTTTTGTATTATCTTTTTGGTAATTTATTTGTGGCAATGTCACACAAAAAATTGACTTAAATCCTAATAAAACTCAACTCAAAATTTTCAACTAAAACATTCTTTAAAATATATATTTTATAAAAGAAAAGACAAAATGTAACATTAAAAATATTAAACATAAATAATAGTTAACAAATACTTGGACCCAAATAAGATCCAAACCATTATTTTAAAAGATATTAGAAAAACCCAGTTTTTAAATTTTGAAAAACTGAGTTTTTAAATTTTATTCATTTTTTTAAAAATTTCAAAAAATAAATAAAATTTTAGAGGTAAAATTTTATTTCAATTTTAAATAGAAAATGGTAATAAGATAAGCAGTTTACTTAGAGTTCTTTATTAATTTTCTTTAGAAATTTAAATATCTAATTGTTGTTTAGAAATATAGATGACTATACTTAAACACATAGATAACAATGCTTAAATAGGCTACTTTTAAGTATAACAATAGAACAACACAAAATAAAATTATTCTAAAAAAACATTGTAGTAATAAAAATAAATATATATTCAGCTGCCAAATTGAAGCTTATAAACATGTTAAGAATAAACAAAATTGCTTGTAAAGAAAGTCAAAATAAACAATTTCTCAAAAAAACTTTAAGCAATGCATAAAGTTTAGTTTATTTATTATTATCATAATGCAGGATAAAAATATTAAAGTGCCATCGTTTGGAATACAGGTAAATTAATAAAAAAAGGCTGTTGCCTATTCCGATTCTGCAAAAAATGGCTGATTAAGCCAATGCCAATTAATCGGTACATCACTAATATATATATATATTATGCTGTATATACTAGAGATCATCTTACAGCATACTAACTTAACTATATACTTTATCGTACATTTGGTATACTAAAACAAGTATACAACTTAGTACACCTATTTACTTTTATTTGTGAATTATTTTTGGACTGACTTGATAACTTAATAATTACATTATTTTAATAAATTAAATTATTATACCGTAATTATAGTATGATCTTAATGATTTAAATTGTTATACTACATTTATGACTTATCTTGAAAGTGTTTTTATTTTTAATTTGATTTTTTAATGTAACAAGATAACAATCAATTATCAAGTGGTTACTGATTTTGAGACTTTAACTTTTTTTTTGTTATATATCTAGTTAGACTTTAACTTTTTTATTTATCTAGTGAGAATGTAAAAACAATGGTTAATAGTTTAATAAAACACACAAAAAACATTAAATTTTTTTTTTATTTTATTTTTTTTTTTTTTATTTTAATTCACCTCCTCAAGGCCGAGAAGGCCACTACAGACGAGGAGGCTACTTATTTGTGGTTATAACCCTCTCTCAACTCTATAACTCCGAAACACGAACCTTGACGAGCAAGGCCGCTGCGCGGAGAAACGAGTTGAGCGCGGTACTACCAGGGACGTGGTGGGGATCGAACTCGGAACCACTCGTTTATAAAGCGAGCGCTCTACCACTACACCACTACCGCATATATACCACTACACCACATACCGCAAATAAAAAATAAACACATTTGTTTTATGTAACCCATTAAAATTTTTATACAAACTTGTATTATGGTTTTTCCAAAAAAATTTATGTTTAAGGTATACTTTCTTGTATACTATCGGTAAAGGAGTTGTCCATTAATTACGTCAACAAAATAGGTGGGAGGAGGGGGAGGGATCTGAACTTTTGTGACAGTTGTTGACAAGGGGGAGGGAGGGAGGTCAATCAAAGTTGATGTCAACAATATAGGAGTCATACCATATGTATATCTCATACATATATGAATGAGATATACATATGGTATGACTTATGCAGTATGTAAAAAATGCACTGTGAAGAAAATAATATTATATATTTAAATATTTTTTATCCAAATTTATAAATAGTTAAGTTATATAGACATTTAGTAAAAACAGACAAAAAAAGTAAAAAAAAAACTTACGAATTGATTGGATCATATTTTTGACCACGATATGTGGATATTTCAGCTTGCTTGATGATTTTCTGTGTATCATACAACATAAAACCTCCAAAAATAACCAACCCTCCATATGTAACTAAAGAATTTATTACTGGAACAGCTGCTGATGATGCAGGTAAAAACATTCCACCTATAAAATTAACATAAAAAACATATGATTCTAATATAAATAATATAAAATTTAAAGAGTAAATAAATAAATATTCAAAAGTTGACTTTAAAAAAAATTAAATTAACATTTGCCTAAAAATAACCAGAAAATTATGCTATAAATAAACACCTAGAGAAGTCACAAAAAGAAAAAATACCTAGAAAAGCCATGTTATGGGTTTATACCAAAAGAAGCCTGGCAATGATTAAATACCTAGAGAATCTGCACAAAAAATTAAATATTAAGAAAATTCAGACAACAAATAAATACCTAGTGAAGCCACACAAATGCCACCAAGAGCAAGAGATAAAGGTCCACCCCATGTCAAAAATTTATCATTTGGTGCACATGCAGCAGTCAAGGTAAGACCAGCAACTGTTCCAGCAGTGTAAACAGCAGCACGAGCAACTAATGGTCCCCCAAGAAGAATCATGGGAGCTATAACAACACCTACAACCCCACTGTGAACTAAAATAAATTTGAAAACACTTTTATCTGGATTTAAATTATTTAATGATTTGAAATGTTTCCAATTATCTACTTTTACTATATTCCTTGGTTTAACAAACAAGGATCAATAATTTTATGAAATTCATTACCAGCCCATGCAAAATGTTTTGCATTGAGACCTTTTTCATACTCTATAGCTTGACATAAAATCGAACTTCCTATCATTGCCACCATGCTTCCTCCTATAACCTTTTTTAAAAGTCTCCATAGCAATTATCAAAACAACAAAAAAATTTTATAAAAAAATAAAAGTAAGAACTTATAAAAATTTTTTAAAAAGAAAATTTAACAAAATATTTAGTAAAAGTAACTATCAGTAAAAAAATAAAAGTAACTTTCAAATTTTCATACCAACCAAGGGCTTGCACCCATCATTCTATAAATAGCTTGGGTTCTACTCATATAAAATGCTGATACAGCAGTGAGTCCAAGGCTTCCCGTAAAATACAAATATGTTGACTTAACACGTGCCCTCATCTCTTCAGGCCAAAATCTGAAAAAATATATTACAAAATATAAATTACACAAAAAACTAATTTATTCTAAATAAATTAATTTAATTTAATTACCTAGTTTTAAAGAAAAATATTGTGGAGGATAAAGAAAAAAAAAAAAGATAAACAGGTTACAGTAACAAAAGCATACAAACATTTAGAAGATGTGTATAGTACAACCAATAAGAAAAACAATATTCAGCTTCAGCTTCAAAAAATTTTTATTTAAGACTTTAATAAAAAGGGTCTTAAATAAAAAGAATAAAAATTCTTTTTTAATATTTCTAATAAGAACTTGTCTAAAAGCAGAAGATAAATGAGATTTTATAAAAAGAAAATACAATAAATTTTAAATGATACAAAAGAAATACCTTGCAACATCTATTGCACCAACTTCATTAGACAAACCAAGCCCATAAAAACATAGACCAGCAATAGCTGCTGCAGATGCACCACCTAATACAGCTCGACCAGCATTCTCAGCTAAAAAACAACAATAATATAATAATGTTATATAAATAATATAAAATTTCAAACTTAAAGCAATAAAATACTACATTATTGCATTTTTATAATTTATTATGTCATTAAATTGAAACAACCAAAAAATATTGTTCTTAAAAACAAGAAGTTGTTTAGCATTTAAAGCAGTTAGTATTGTTTTTATTGTAACAATCCCTTAAAAGCAGTTAGGTAATTACAAATTGAATCAGTTTATGTTGTTTAATTCAGAAGCATTATTATCAAACTTATCTTATAACGAATCACCTACTGAGTAATTCCAATCAACTGAAATCTTTGCTATATAAATATCAGCTGAAAGGTGTATTTCATTATATAAGCACCAGCACCCAGAAAGTTAAAGTCTAGGTATGCACAAAGATAAGAATAGAATCTTTAAAGCAAATAAAAAAGTAAAAGAATATAATCCTTAAATGAGCGTTTCTTATATTAAAATATCTTGTCGCCAACATTTCAATGACTTCATAAAATTAAATAAAAATGTGAAAAAAAAGTTAATAAAAATATAAGACTTTTTGAATTCTGGCTAAAAACTCAAATTAAAACCCTAAAAGCATTTATTCATATTTGAATAGTAAAACAGTTGTAAAAGATTCTATTAAAGCACTCAAAACTGTTGATAGTTCAATTTTAACAAATGAGGTAGATATTACAAATTGTTTAAATAAGAATTTTAATTCAGTACTTTTAAAAGATGAGATATTAGATCCTGTAACTTTTCCTTCAGAATGTAATACTTTTTAGGCAATCCAAGTTTTTATGACACCAATGTTGAATATCATTTATTAAACCTTAATGTAAATAAAGCAATGGCTGTTGTCAAAATCCATTTTCGTGTTCTCAAAAAATGTTTTTCATCCATTATCCCTGATCTATAAAGTCTCATACTATAGTGGTTTTATACCAAATGAATGGTTAACTGCAAACATAACTCCGCTGTTCAATAAAGAAAATAAGTTAGATCTTTCAAATTATCGAACAATATTATTAACATCAATAGCTTGCAAAATTATGGAGAAAATTATTTGCAATGAATTAATTCACTTTTAATAAATTAATAGGCAGTGGGCATCATGGATTTGTTAATAGTAAAAATTGTTGTTCAAATTTGTTAGAGATTTTTGGTTATAATACAAAAAAAAAAAAAAAAAAATAATCTAGTATTAGTATCAATATAATATTTTTGGACTTTGCAAAAGCTTTTGATTTGGTTTCTCTATTTAAATTATGTTGCAAGCTTTATGATTATGGCTTTCACTCTTATATTCTACAATGGTGTAAAACATTCATTAGTAATATAAACAAAGTGTTATTATAGGTAAGTTTGTTTCAAGTTGAAAGGAAGTTACAAGTAGAGTACCTCAGGGTTCAGTTCTTGGCCCACTTTTATTTGTAATTTATATAAATGACTTAAGAATTAACATAATAAATTAGAATTATTTGCAGATGATACTAAAAACCTGTAAGCAATTATTAGTGAAAGTAAGAACAATATTCTTTAAAAAGATTTAAATAAGTTTTTAGACGGGTCAAATAAGTGATTGATTAAGTTCAATGGAGATCAGTGCAATGTTATGCATATTGGTAAGGAATCATTCATAAAGTATGTATGCTTCTACTTTGACCCTTCCCCCACACCCCACTTGCATTTTTTGAGTAGTCTCTGCCTCCCTAAAAGTACCTTTGCTTTTAACCTACCTACCCAACATTTTATTATATAATTTTTTTAATTTAGTGTCTCCTTACTTTTATAATTGACCCCTGCCTCCCATCTCACATATGCCTTTTGCAGACCCCCTCTTCTGCATCTGAGTGCACATACTTTATGGACGATCTCTTAAGTACATCCTCAATTTAACTACAAATTAGAAAATCATATTTTGAAAATGACCCAGATATTTTAAAAAATATCACTCTTTATCGCAGACTTAGTTGATTTTTATACCGTTGAAAGTACTTTTAAATGATGAGTAAATTTTAGCCTTTAGCTCCATGAAAGATCCTGAAATATGATCATTTTACTTTTAGCTGATACTGGCCAGGCCCCTCTTGTCCCCTCAGAATTGAAACAAATATTTAAAGGTTTTAAATCACATAACTCTAAAAATATTTGGTCTTTTTACTTAAAAATGTGTACCTAACTAATTTTAGGGGTGATAAACCAAGGCCTTCTAAAGTAGAATGCGACATCACATTAGTAGTCCGTTGATATTTGTCTTGTTTAAAAAAAAAAAAATTTATTTTAAACTTTTGCAAGATAAAGTTTTTATATTTCATTCAATTTTAATTATCTGATTACAAAAAAGTGAATGAAAAAAATTATTACAATAACACATTTATTTTGAAAGTAACTTATTTTTTTTACAAGTTTTTTTACATTAAATTTTAAAAAGTATATCCAAAGTCTCATTAAGAGAAATAAATTCTAATTTTTTTATTATTCAAGTAACTTTAGTAATATTCTTAAACAACAACTAATAAAAGTTACCAACTTCCTTGATACTTTTTAAACTTTTTTATATCGTATTTTTCCAAATTTAACAATTTTTCCAAAAAGACTTTTTGCAATAATTGTATTTGGTAGTGTACATATGGCAGGTCATGCAATATAAAGTATTGAAATACCACAACTGCATACACCATCATTCATCTCAAGAATTTTTAAACACTCAATTGAAAAAGAAATTATGATTTGTTTGTTTCTTTGACATCAACAAATACTTGGTTTCATATTTGAAAAAAGAAAAAATTAAAAAAAAAGGAAGACTTTTATTAACTTTTTAAACTTTTTTAAATTTTAAAATTTAAAAATTTAAAATTTTTAAAAGTTAAAATTTTTTAAACAAACTTTTTGTTGCAACTAAAAACATAATTGTGTTTGCTGAAACTGAAAAAAAGCTGAAACAAAAGGTTTGTTTGCCATTTCAACCCTCCACAATCTAAATTGAATAGGTAAACATATACTGAAGCAATATCAAACTTTAATAAATGTTCTGAAACAAACTTTTTTTTTTCAAAGCTCAAAAATATTTTTTGATGTAGCAGCATAGCCTGCAATATACTCAAGAGAATTGCATTCAAAAGAAGAAACATGAACATTGCCTGATCAGGTCACTAATTTAGAAAAATTATCAATAAAAATATCTTCAGAATTGTCTGTAGATTCAATTGCATTGACACGATTTCATCCAGAAATAAAGTCTAAGAATAATATATTGCCATGTTTAGTAGAAACTATGTTTAAAGAACTAATGATTTTTTTTTCCGATTCTCCTATCTATTGAACTGATACATGATAATTTCCATCAGAAAACTATCTATAAGAACCAAATCGTGCTTCCAAATAGTTTGTTTCAATTAATCCTGTCAACAAATAGATAAAAATGCAAATCAGTTAGCATGTATTTAATCAGTTCAATAAAGGTTATCTAGTGTGATTTCAAGCAAAAACAGTTTGTGTAGTAAGGCAGCCATGTCTGCTTTTTTGTAAAAAAATCTTTGAAGTCAAAAGAAAAAATCTTTTTTTTTTAAAAAAAAATGTTATTGTTTAAGTCATTGATAGGATTACAATTATTGTTTCAAATTCCTTACAAATTCCTTTACTAGTAGACATTTAATATTTTCCAGAGTTTTATAATTAAAGAAATGAGTTCCTGTCAGAGTTGTTAGTCCTTTGCCTTGCCTTTGCCTTATAGCCGAAAATTAAGGCCTTGGCATTGGTCTTGGCTTAGAAAATTTTAAAGCTAATTTATTATTTTGTCTTTTAATAGTGGTTGGGTTATTTTGTAAGCAAATTCAAGTTTGAAGCAAATTCAACTATTCTCTTTTTCAAAGTTGTGCAACTGTCAAATATATTAAATACATGTATTACATTTAGAATTATTATGAAAACCAGGATACAGAAATAATGATCACTGTCAAGTTGTCGCAGCCAGCTATTGTGAATACATTTCAATAGATGTACACTATTAAATAGAAAAAACGGTTTTCATGTTGAATCATAAGAATGTTGAATGACTGATAATCACAACTAAAAAAAGGCAATAAACATTTTTCAATTAATTTTTTATTATTTGAACCACTTTTATAGTAATATCTTTTAGATAGACAGCAGCCATATTTTTCACTGAAACAACATCTTTAAATGATACTGAGCAACATCTTTATTTGATGATAATAAAGAAGTTATAAATGTTTGCAATGTGGCATTTTAGATAAAAACTAAAAGCCTGAGTCTCAGGACTATATCAAGGTTGATTAATCGATAATTTTTTATTTGTTTACATAAAAATACTAAACATTTATAAACATCGATAATTTTTTATTTGTTTACATAAAAATACTAAACATTTATAAACATCTGTATTCATCACTGTCTTTAACTTGTTCACATAAATTATTTAAATTACATTGAATTGTTAAAACATAATCTGAACTGGACATGATATTTTTATTACCAGGAAAAACTTGTGTTAACATAGTGACCAATTTATTCTAATAAGTTTACATTCATCATTAAGCCACCAAACTGCTGTCTATCTTCAAATTAAAAGTAAACGCTTTAACAAGTAGGTTATTGTGAATATAATTTTTATTGAAAAAAAAAAAAAAAGGAATATTAGGAAATAATGATGGGTATCTTGTGTTAATTATGGTCTTTTTCTTTTAACACATATTACAGAACAATTATCTCATTTCATTCTATCAACACAAACAATAAATAAATGAGATATTTTTTCACAGAGCAGTTTTATTTGAAGGAACTAAATTTTCTTGAGAAATTTGACGAATCCATGATTCTTCCATATTTTGATCAGCTGGAAATTTAAAAACACTATTTCACACTTTGATAAAAATTGATAAAATTATACTTAATTCATAATAAACTGCATTGAAAATATGAAAAGTAAATCTTTAGTATTTACAACTTGAGATATTTAGAAACAAATATATAATCAAAA